TAAGCGTCCCATTTTTCTTCCAGGACCRAACTCAGGCGCCAATGACCCGCCCCCTTCGCCCGCCCACCCACAGGTTCAAGCCTCACACGGCCTGGAGGAAGGGGAGGGACGAAGGAGCCGTCGCGACTCCAGCGGAGGACAACAAAACGCATGCGCAAGCGAGACGTCGCGCACTAACACGCACGCGCGCCGACCTGTGGAAAGAGATGCCGCGGTTGCGCGTCTCGCGCGTATCCCGTGTGCAGCAGCCGGCGGCAGAGCAGTGGCGCGGCATCTGGGGAAGAGGCGGGAGCTAGGTCGCTGGCGGCCGTCCGGCCCCCGGAGTGGCTTCACGACCCCAGCTGTCACGCCCTCCAGRGAAAAGTGGCCCGTAGGGACCCCAGTAGCCCAATCTCGGCCCAAACCCGTTCCAGCCGGTTCTCTTTGAGTCCCGTCAGCGGCACTCACGGTCCCGCCATTGCTGCGTCGCGGAATTCTCGCGAGTAGTGGCGCTCAGCGGAAGTTGGTACCATAGAGCCTCCGGCGCGAAGGGCGCTCGCGAGCGGGGAGGCGGTGCTGAAAGTTTCCCAGCGGGCTGGCGCCGGAAGCTGCGGGCCTTGTCCTGTGTCGCGCCTGCGTCGTCCGGTTAGGACCGTGGGATACTCCTCCCACTTCTGGGTTGTTTTCTTTTTTTGTCCAAAGGTCAGCTCTTCGTTAACGCCCCACTCGTTTGAAGCGGCTCCCGGGTGTTGGTCCGTGCGGCATGTCCTCGATGCCCCGGGATCCTCGCAAGCCCACCGTCACCCAAAGGAAGGACTCCCTAACTCAAGAAGTCGCGCCCGCACACAAACGGGTCCAGGACTCTTGGGAAGAAAAACAACCCACCGGAACGCCCTGCTCAAAACTTGACTCATCTTTCTGGGCGAGGGTTTGAGGGAGTGCTTACAGGCTGTGGCTCTTGAGTACACTTTGGGTAATTCTGGAGCTTCTGTTGTCTCCCACAGCGGCATGTGAGCAGTGGCGGAAGGCTAAGGACATATGTGGAAAAGGAAGTTAAGAACTGGGTTGACAAAGCCCTTGGACACACGCCCTAGGCGGAGTCCATTGCACTCCCGAATGATTACTGGGTGAAACCCTTCACGATGTTGAAGGAAACAGACATCAGTGTATCTGCCAGACAAGAATGCCATCATGAAGGACTAAAATGAATGCTCAGATTGAAGACATTGATCAATAATTCGCTTAGGAAGCTCTTCCGAACCTTTCTGGGAGAAATGCAGTACTTAAGCATACAAACGTGCCTACCAATTCTCTAAAAGAAACAAATGGATATATTTTCTCCTGAGGAATACACTGGCAAAGGCGGGCCTCTAGACAGGCAGTTTGATCAAAGTACAGCACACAGAACAAATAATGCGTCAATAAACAAATTTTAATAGGTAAATATATCCTGTAAATGTTATAGTGTGCACGCCCAGGAGAGAGAGTGAAAGGGAGGGTTGCTGCCAGTCACATCCTCCCAGTCAGTATTCTTCCCCTTCTTCAGCCTCTGCTTCCACAGAATCCACGCCCACCTCTTCATAATCCTTCTCCAGCGCTGCCAGGTCCTCTCGGGCCTCTGAGAATTCCCCTTCCTCCATGCCTTCGCCCACATACCAGTGCACAAAGGCCCGCTTGGCATACATGAGGTCGAACTTATGGTCCAGGCGGGCCCAGGCCTCAGC